CCCCCCCCACTACACACACGCCTGTTTGCTCACCGGCAAGTGGAGGTGATACCACACCTACCAGGCTGTTACAGGAGGGCACAGCGGCTGCAAAGTACACAAGCAAGGGTGCATTTCCTTCTTTTCCTCCTGGGCCTCTACCTGGACCCACCCTATGCTGAGAAGCCTTGGGCAAGTCTGGACTCCCTCACTGGCAAATACCTGGGCCTTTCTAGGGAGAAACCGCTGGGCAGGGGCCCAGTTGTGCCCTCTGCCGGGCCCTTCACACACACCCTAGCCTGCCTACTGCAAACTCAGAGGAGACAGGACACGGCCCATGCTGTTAGGACTTTGGCTCAAGGCCATTGAGATAGCCTCCTGGGAGGCAAAATTTGTCTCTCTCTCACACACACACACACACACACACACACACCCCACTCTGGAAGTCCCCAGAGCCTCCAAAGGCTAGGGAGAGCCTCAACCAGAAGGTTCAGGTCATCCACACTGGCTAGTGTCCAAAGAGCCAACACCACAGACACACTCTTGCCATCTGCCACCCCTCAAGAGTCTGCCTTCACTCTCATCTACCCAACTCTGCCTTCCAACTTCTCTCACCAGCTTCTCCGATCACTCCCTTTCTTCCATCCCCTCTCCCAGCACCTGGGGCCGTGCACCAGAATGGCAGCCCCCCCCCCCCCGAGTTCCTTTATCCCTGGCCTCCAGCATCACAGACCCCAGGCCCTCCATTTCATTCTCTAACCTATGCCCCACCACTCCTCCACATCCATCACCACCTCAGCCCCTTGGCTAAGGTGCTGAAAGCCCATGGCTTTCCTGCCTGTGCAGCCTATGGGGGACCCTTGCCACATACCTGGAATCCTCCCCTCCTCAATTCCATTCACTCAATTGCACACTCTTTAGGACCTACCTCACCCCAAAGGTGGACACAGGACTTCCAAACCCCATAGCACCTCTCATCTGTACACAGATATGGTACCTCCTACCCCCCATCAGGAGGGTGAACATCCCATGCACAGAGGTCGTTTCATCTCATGCCATCCTGAGGAACCATTACACAAAGGAAACAATGTCAAGAATGGAGTGACCAAATGACCAAAGGACCAGGCACTTGAGGTTCACAGAACCCATGGGGCCACCCAGGTCATACTCACTGCCCAAACCTGAGCACGGGCTCCAAGTACAGAGGGTACCTCCTGGGAAACCCTACTGGTTCCACAGGCCCCTGCTGAGAGGAGGCTCCACACAGGCCCAAGCAAACCCCAGCCCACAGAAGCCCTTCCCCACAAACCCTGTATACCTCCATGTGTTCAGAAAGGAGTGGCTTTTCCAGACCTGTGGGAGTACAGAGTGCCTCCCCACTCTTCCTATTTACTCAAGGACACACAAGGCCACCTATGGCCATTTAGCCCAGGAGATCAAAGGTTGCTGTTCTCCTCTGCAAAGGGACAGGTCAGGGGTTCTCTGGGCAGTCTGCCCCCGGGCCCCCCACTGTACCTCCCACCTCAGGGAGGCCCGTCTCCATCATAGCCACTGAAAAGTCTGGTTTGGAGCCAGGCCTCGTGTCCTCAACTTATAGGATCACAAGATCTCAGGCCCCATTCAAACTCACAGGCAAAACCTAACTGCCTGTACCCAGGTCCCAGGCCTGCCTTGAGGTTCACTCTGCTGACATGCTGAGCTCTGCCCATGCTTGTACAGGCCATCTCTAGGCTGTGTATGGGAGGACACCTAGCTCTAGGGGCACACTGGACTGCCCAAAACTCTCTGCACAGGGACCCAGACTGGCTACCAATCCCTGTAATTATGTCCCCAGTAATATTTATCAACCATTCCCCCAATCCCTTTTCCCTGCTCTCTTCTGATCATCCCTCCAGCGTTAGAACCAGAAGGTTCTCCCCACCAGGGCAGAGAAAGTAATCCAGAAGCGGGGCAAGTAACCATTGTCAGCCGTGGTTGCGCAGGCTAGGTTCCACTCCCCGGGACCCCCAAGCTATCTGACATAGGAGGGTTGGGCAAGCAGACCTGGCAATCCAAAACAAAAACCCAAGCCTCAAGGGTAAGTTCATCCAACATGGTTCTGAACTGAGGACGAGACCAAGAGGAGATGAGAGAGGAACTGAAGGGGGCCGTGATTACTGTAATTCCAGGCTCAGCCCTTAAGTCCCAAATCTCAACCTTCAACAAGAAAAACTCCATCTGACGTAAGTATTACTTTAAATATTTAAATAACATGAACCGAAAGACATTTTATTTGGACATTAGTACAAAGTGTTGATAATTAACATAAATGAGCATTTTCTCAAAATCAAAGTATGCCTGCTGGTGAGCCACACAGATGGTGTTCAGCCTCAGGCTGAGGTTGTGTGCACCCCAAAGGCTCACTTCATTGTTGGGATTCTCTAGCTAAATTTGTATCCACAGCTATCCCCTCAGCTCCCTGGAGGAGGCTCCCAGGGCTAGCTGGCCCTGAACAGCACGTAGAGCACAGGCAGAGTGGCCATAAATGTCACACAGGTGACCAGTGTGCTGTAGATGGTGTTCCTGTTGACCTGAGCTTCAAGCTTCTGTTCCATGTCTGATAGTGCCAAGATCACGCTCCCCTGCTCCAGCAAGGAGCCAGGCAGGGCCCTGTCTGCTGGCCCCAGCAGGCCTGGATGTGCTGCAGCCTTCACAAGCTGAACCACCTCAGCCGTTTGGCTGAAAGTCTTTTCCAAGCCATCAAGCCGCTCTCGTAAACCCTCTAAACATGAATGGACCTGCCTGGAATGGCTGAGCTGCTCTTTCAAGGCAGCTGAAAGGACATCTGTGTCTCTGTCTCGGGTGGGGGAAGTACCTGCCTGGGTCCCAGAGCTCAGCCCGGAGCCAGCTTGTACCAGGCCCCTTAGGTCCACCATGAGGTCGTGGAGGTCCCTCTGCTGGAGGGAGTAGCTGGATGCCTGTTCTCGGATGGCCTCCTGGAGGCTCACAGGCCCCTTCTGCGCCTCTAAGAGCAAGGCCTTCAGCTCCTGTAGCCGCACACGGTTCACATAGGTGGAGCCAGCCACACCAATCAAGGCCCCCAGAACTGACCCGATGAGGGACCAGTTCTTGGTCCTCTCAGCTCGAGTGCGCTCCTTCTCGTGACTTTCCCGCACAGCCGCAGAGAAGAGGGAGAACTTCTCTCGCTCAGAGTCTTCAGCACGCAGATAGGTTGCACGAAGCCTCTTCTCCTCCTGCAGAAGCAAAGCAGTGTTATACAGCAGCAATGTGGCCCTGCCGTTGGAGCTGCCAGCAGACGTCCCTGGGGCTCAGCCTCATGCCTGGCGCAGACTGCATGCTCAATAAACCCGCTGAATGAATGAAGGCAGCATAAACATAGTCAGGTGCAGGAAGCAAAGGAATTGGGGGCAGTCAAGATGAGCAATGCTACCTTCCTACCCAAGCAGTGCTGGGTCTGACCAGACACGCACTGATGACTACAGAATGTGTCCATCAGAAGGAAGTGTCTGGCCCCCTCTAGGCCAGTCCCCTCCTCCCTGGTGCTCCCTCCTCAGCAATCTGGGATCTGGGGCCCAGATTATACGCCCTGGACTACTGACCCCAGTACTCCAAGAGAAAGTGGGTGGACAGGCTCTGGAAGCCTGGGGCCCAGAGCTTCTGGTTTACGTCTTCACCAGATCTCTGACCACCAGACCAGTCAGGTTCCCACCTTGCCCCTTGATGATCTGCCAGGCTAGGGTCCCTATCCAATGAGGAAGGGCTGCCTTCTGAGTGCCTACTTGCAGCAGCCGGTGCTCCAGCGTAGCCAGTTCTAGGTACTGGATATCCTCTCTGGAGATGCGGTCCAAGCGGTCCCTCACCTCCTTCAGCTTGGCCTGGTGAACTTCCAAGTCCTCCCGAGCCTCTCGCACAAGCCCTCGAGCCACCATGAACACTTTCTCCGCCTGCAGAGAGAACAATGGAGGCTGTCTGCCCCTTCCCTCCACACCCACACAGGCTCAGCTCTATTCCCAACAAGGCTGTGGCTGAGGTGAGTGGGGTGTCAGTGCAAAGGGTGGAAAAAAAGAGTCCTTCAGACACAAAATCCTGGCCCGCCCAGTAGTCCTCAAAGTGCAGCCCTGGGCCACACCCATCAGAATCACTGGATTTATCCATTCAAGTGGAAATAACATGCCCCTGAGAAACTTGAAAAAAGCCAACGCTCCACACAAAACCCAGCCAATCCTAGTCGGATACAAGCCACGGAAAGGAACCTAGGTTCCTAAACTGTTTCACGCACGCACGCTACCTTATCTTCACCTCTTGACGATGCCACAAGAGGCATTGCTGTGGCCTCCATTTTACACACCCAGAAACTCCAGCTCAGCCAAGGTCATGACCTCCAAGGGGAAGAGACAGCACTGTGCCTCAAAACCTCCCAGTGAACCCCCAGGTTCTTGCCACCTCACTAGCTTGGTCTGTACTAGGCAGGAATGGGAACAGAGACGACAGAATGCATTTCTGCTACCACCAAGGGCTTCCAGCCACAGGAAGCTCTTTCCACCTCACAGTGTGATTGATGCTGCCTGGCCCTGGGCTTCTACCTTCACAAGGGGTGTTTTAATTACACGTGGGGCTTTGAGGACACTTGTAACACTCTCACCAACCCTCAGTCAATGTAGGAAGTGTTCACTGGCCTAACACGATGGATGTCAATGGCCAGGGACTCATCAGTACACAGACACCTGTGTACTGGGGTAGACGGGTACAGTTACACAGAGATCTTCACCCCCAGTACGATCGAATCCAAGTTACCATGTGAGAAATGAGTCAAATTCATCTACCAATAGTATTTGTTTAAGAAAAGGCAAATCTGGGCAAGGCTTCCCAGCACCACGTGGCTGGTAATTATTTGGCAAGAGCCTCCCAGCCACATTTCCAAGTCAGAAGGCAGGGCCAACCACCCCGGCTTCCCTCCTCACCTCAGTCACATTTCCCTGGGCCTCTCGAACTTCATTGAGTCCGACAAACTCTTCGTATCTTTCCCACCAAGTCGTGGCTGTGGACGATGCTCGCTGATGAATGTCGTGCCCCAGGGCTCTTCCCAGAGCTGTGAGGCGGCGGTACAGCCCAAGAGCCACCTCCTCAGGTCTTTTCTCTCTGGGCTGGCTAGGGCCTGGGCTGCAGAGAGTCCTGGCCATAAAGAGGTCCCTTCCAAGGAGGCCTCTCCACACCACACGGGGCGCACCGAGGACGTGCTGCATGGCAAACACAGTGCTGCGCCCTGTCATCAGGAGATCTGTAGGGGGACGCCAGACAGATCAGCTCACAGCTGAGAAAGGCTGGGCATAAGTCAGGTTTCAGGGCCTAGGGGCAGTTCTGAACTAATTTCCATGAAAAAGTCCAAAAAGAGCGCTGCTCTGTTGTGCCTGGAGACGGTAGCCGCTGTGGTCAGGCTTCCCCCTTGGGTGCTCCCAGATAAGAGAACACACCAGGGAAGAACATGTTTAGGAGATCATGCCTTCCATCTCCTTCCACAATGCCACCAGCACCTCCCATCCCACCCATCTTCCCCACAGCCCCCAGGTCTCCGTTGTGACTTGGATGGGAATCCTGGTGCCCGGTTTTCTGATAACGTCGAAGAAAATTCTCAAACCAGGGCTGCCTGGGTAGCTTGGTCAGTTAAGTGTCCAGCTGCTGATTTTGACTCAGATCGTGATCTCACGGTTTCTGAGATCGAGGCCTGTGTTGGACTCTGTGCTGACAGTGCGGAGCCTGCTTGGGATTCTCTCCCTCCCTCTCCCTCCTCCACTCGTTCTCTCTGTCTCCGTCTCTGTCTCTTTCTCTCTCAAGAGTAAATAAATAAACTTAAAAAAAAATTTTTTTTTCAAACCTGAGTTGCGTCCATGCTGACAAAGCCTCACAAATCACAAAGATTCATAAAGACTCCCAGGGAAACTGGGGAACTGAGGGGATTTCAGGGAAAGAGTTCTGCAAAATACCATCAAAATCAACTGCCCAGACTCTGAGGGCTGCCCCAGCACTGGGAAAGCAGAGTTTTGCTTATGTTCGAGGACACAAGTCATTCTGTACCAAGGCAGAAAATTCCCTCCTCAGCTCTCCTCTGAGAAGACAATTCCAGGGAAAAGGCAAAACAAAACAAAAAGCCTGGATCTCTACACAGAGGACAACTTTTCTTAGGTTCACACGAGCCCTCCTCTGCCCTCTGAGGCTTTCCAGGCTTCCAATCCCCCCCACCCCTCACATTCCTAACCTTCCACAAGCTTTCTCCCTCCTCTCCAACTTTAGTCCGGCTCTACAGGTCTGGTTTCTTCAATCTCTCCCTTTTCAACCTTGCTTTGTCTGGGCCCCAACAACACCCACTTCTCTTAACCTAAACAGCAGAGGGAGGCTCCTGTTACCCAGTCAGGCTCTGCCTGAGCCCCAAAGCAGCAGGGACTCTGAGGACCCCAAGGAGGGTCAGGTGACCCCTGCTCCCAGGCAAACCTGGACCAGCACTCCTGTCCTCTGGCCAACCCTCCTTCCCCCACCAACCCCCAACCATAACACACACAAGCTCTCAAGTATTGATGCTGGCTGTCAGAGTGACACCTAGTGGCCAAACAACCAGGCCAGAGAGAAAAGCAGAGGATGCTGGGGACAGGAAGATAAATTGGAGGAGCTTGGGTGACAAAGAAAGGGGCTTCTGAATGTAAGGTGATGTGGAATAGAGACCCACTCAGAGCATCTCAGCCTCCTATCCCCTTGTGCTGTGCTTGGAGAAGCTCAGGCCCTCTAGAAAACAAAGTTGGTTGGGTAGGGACATGCCTCCTGCCCAAAATGGGTCCGAGCTGAGAGCCACGGAAGGGACATCCCCATAACACTGGTTCTGAGCTGGTGCTGCACCGGAACTCCTGGGCCCCATCCACAAGGCCCAAGAAAGCACACAACATCCATGACCCAGGGGTCAAGCCAGCCTCTTAGGCCTCAATGCCAGCATCCGCCACACATGAGCTGTGGCCCCATGACCATCCTGCAGGTGTTTCCTGCGTCAGAGCAAAGCAGACTCCCAGGGCTGCCAACCACAGCCCTCACTCTCCTTTTCAGCAACACTCACCAGAGAGGTGTCCACCTTGCTGTCACTACTTCCCCAGCCCCCATTCTCTCTTGATGGCACTCCACCAAGAGGCTGCTCTCCTGGAGGCCCTGCAAAACCTCCACCTTGCCAGATCCACCAGGTACTTCTCAGATTTCTTCTCCAACATCTCTGCAGCTTTCAACACCCTTGTCTTTTTGAAATCACTACCCACCCCCGCCTCGGCTTCCTCCAACCTTCTTAGCCTCCTCTCCTGACTTCTCTACCAGCCACCCACTCTTGAACCCCAGGAAAGTCATCCATCCCTGGCAGCAATGACAGCTACAGCCTCCTGTGAAGTCCTGGCTTCCTCCCTGCCCCTCAGAGCCGTTATTCACAAGGCAACTTGAGGCTCTGTTAACTCATCATTTCACATCTCTTGTTGGAAACCCCCGACAGCTCCCATCTCACCTGCCATGAACACCAGTCCCACCAGTGGCCAACAAGCCACGGTCCTCTTAGTTGTCATCCCTTCCTCCTGTCCTCCACTCCATGCACCCTAACATGTGAAGCCTGACTCTGCTACTTTCTCCACAGAAAGGTCCAGTCAGCTGACAGGTCCAGTCAGCTCATCCTGACTTGTACATCTTGGCTCAAACACCACCTTGTGGCAAACCTTCCTTGACCATTCCCTCCTGGGCCACCTGCTTTATGTTTCTCCATCAGACACATATTGCCTTCTTTTCATGTTGCCAGGCCCCTCACTAGAACATAAGCTTGGTGACAGCAAGGACTCTGCTGTGTGAGGAAATGACTCAAGTTGTTCCTCTATTCCAGTCCCTCTTCTCAGACATCCAGCCCCCACCCCAGCCTGATTCTCAGCCCCTCCCCATTCAAATGTCCCACAAGCCCTTAGCCAGCACAGGGAAGCTGTTCCTGGCAGAGGGAAAAAGTGGAAATGCACTGGGGGTCATCTAAAACCTGAAAGGCAGCCAGTGCAGCTGGAAAATAGCAGAGGAAGGGAGAGTGGACAGAGGAGAGGCTGAAGAGGTAAACAGAGACCATATTAAGCAGGGCCTTGAGGGCCAAGTTCAGAATCTTGACCCTCCAAATCCATTCTAACATTCTATCCAGATGACTGTCTCTTACCAACTGTCCATGCCACAAACCTCCATCACCTGTACCTCTATCTCACTTGCAGCTGATGGCTTGCTTCATTTTTCACTAAGAAAATATTTAAAAATTGGAAGACAACTTCTATAAATTCCCACCATACCTTCCCACCTGTGTCTGTTCGGTTTCCACCTTCTTTCTTACTCCTTGAGATGAGGGATTCATGCTCTAGGAAGACCAAGCTGTGGCCAGGTCCCGTGTGCTCTCCCTACCTGACACTGCTCAGTAATTGATCAGACACCCTCTCCAGCAACAGCTCCACTTCTCTGCCCCTCTGTACAGCCAAACTCCTTGACAGATCATCTGCACTTGCTGTCTCCAGTTCCTCCTCTCTCATTCTCTCTTAAACCCTTTCTAATCTGGCCTTCACTTCCACCATGCCACTGGAAATGCTCTTGTCCAGGTCACTTCCACATTGCTAAATCCAGTGATCAGTTCTCAGTCCTCATTTTACTTGCCCTATCAGCAACCTGTGCCTTGTGCCACTTTCCTTTCCTTGAAATGCCTTCTACACTTGGCTTCCAGTCCCCACTCATCTCCTGAACCTACCCACGTGGAGTGCTGCAAGGCAAGGTCCTCAGACTCCTCTCTCATCCAGTCCCATGGCTTTAAAAACCATCTACGGATGGGGCATCTGGGTGGCTCAGTCAGTTAAGCGTCTGACTTCAGCTTAGGTCATGATCTCATGGTTCGTGAGTTCGATCCTCGCATCCGGCTCTGTGCTGACAGCTCAGAACCTGGAGCTTGCTTTGGATTCTGTGTCTCTCTCTCTGCCCCTCCTCTGCTCTCACTCTGTCTCTGTCCCTCTCAAGAATAAACATTTAAATAAATAAATAAATAAATACCATCTAGGGAAATGTTAAAAATATTAACTATAATGATGGTTGAACAGCACTGTGAATATACTAAAACCACTTAAGTGTACCCATTAAGTAGGTGAACTGTATTGTATGTGAATGGTATCTCAATAAAACCATTACTTTTTTTTAAAAGTAATCTCTACACCCAACTTAGGGCTTAAACTCAAGAGTCACATGCTACACCAACCAAGCCAGCTAGGTGCCGCTCCTCCCACTGCTTTTTCCCCCCAAAACCATTACTTAAAAACCCAATCAACTAGGGGTGCCTGGGTGGCTCAGTTGCTTAAGCAGCCACCTATTGGCTTTGGCTTAGGTCATGATCTCACGGTTGGTGAGTTTGAGCCCCAGGTCAGGCTCTGTGTTGACTGTGTGGAGACTGCTTGGGATTATCTTTCCCTCTCTCTCTGCCTCACTCTCTTTCTCTCTCAAAATAAATAAATAAACTTTAAACAAGAAAAAAAAAAAACAAAAAACAACCAATCAACTATATTCTGACTTTTCCAGCCCAGACCTCTCCTATAGATTCCAGGCTCATTTACTGAACCACCGAATCCACAACTCAGCTTGGAAGGTTAATGAGGATCTTATCTTCCCTTCCCAACTTGCCTTTCCCATAGCCTTCTCCATCTTGGTTGATAGAAACTTCCAAATCCAAGTCAGACCAAAAACCTCAAATCATCCCTGACCCCTTGCTTTCCCTCCCATCTCATACCCAATCCATCAGCAAATGCTTCTTCCTTTCTAAAACCAAAATCCCTTTTCCTCTTAGCCGCCCCCCGCCCCCCCACTGCTACCACCTGGTCCCAGTGACTAACATATTTTACTATAACACCCTTCTGACAGGTCTCCCTGCTCCTACTCTAGCCCCTACAATCTATCGTCAACAGAGCAGCCAGTAGCCTTTTCAAAACACAGGCCAGGCCATGTCTCTCTCTGCTCAAACTCTCTAATCGTTCCACATTTCTCTCAATGTAAAAGCCAAATTTTCTCCATGGTCTACAGGACATCTACCTCCTGGCTCTCAGTCTTCTCTGACCTCATCTCCCACAAGTATACTTTCCTCACTCTACTCCAATCATATGGACCTTTTTTCTCCCAGCTTTATTGACATAAAAATGACATATAAATTGACATATCACTGTGTAAGTTTAAGATATACAACGTGACGATTTGATACACTTGATAGACGTA